TTAACAATGCCTTAAAATATACTATTGCTTTGGGAAAGGGTTGGCATGATTTGAATCACTTGATTTAAATCATAATTAAAATCGTATTTTAAATCACCTAATTTAAAAAAAAAATTGATTTAAGTCAACTGGGATTATTTTTTAAAAATCCTATTAATTTAAAAAAATTTATTTTTTTTTTTAAAATTATTAATTTAAGCGTAAAATATTTTTTGTTCATTAATAATTAATAAATACATTCTTTAGAGTGTAATTTAAAAAATCTGATTTCAGTAATAATGAAGGTTTTTTGCTAATAAAAAATGAAAGGGCTATGCATGTAAATTATCTCATCCCTTTCATTATTTCATTAAAAAATAGCATTGAATTAAATAAACTTATTTTTTTAAATATTAATTTAAGTATAAAATATTAAGATACAATCTAATTAAAAAATACATATTTAAGGGTGATTTTTTTAGTCTTATTTCGTTGATTAGATTTCATACTAAGAAATAATGAAAAGGATATGCAGTTAAATTATTTTATTTCAAAATAGACTAAAAATAAGAAAAAAGTAGACTAACCATGGATTAATTATATCGATTCATGCAATTTTATCCTTATTATCCAGTTATTTAAATGTAGTGCTTTAAAAAATTAAATATGTTTTTTTGTGTCTATGAAGACTTGTTCGATCCAGTGTAAATTCACACGCTGGTCTAAATTAAACTTTCTTTTCATTAGACATCTAATATACAGTCTACCAATTCTACAATCATTAGTCAACAATCATTAGCAAGTTGAGCTTGATTAACATTCAATGATTAGTTTTTAATAATTAAATAATAAATTTTTAACCATTTTAGAAAGTTTTTTAATTATAGTATTGTTTTTAAAAAATATTAAGTATTGTCAATATATTTTACCATATAGGTAGTTTAGTTAATACATGTAAAAAAAAATATTTAAGTAATAAAAAATTGATTTAAATCAAATAAACTCGATTTTTCTTTTTAAAAAAATCCTGTTTTTGCTAACTTTGCTTTGGAAGCATGGTGTTACAACTTAAAAAAAAAAAAAAAAAATGATAATTACATTTTATTATCATTTATTTTTCTCCTTTCTCATCAAAAGCACAAAAAAGTCATGATACATAAAATATATTTTTTTTTCATTAAAAGATATTTTAAATTTTTTTTTTATTTCTCTCTCGTTTTTTTTAAATTTTTATTATTGATTTAAACTTGCCCTACCTTTTCGCGGTGCACTGGGGAATTTTTTACGCTGCACAAAGTGCTCCGCATTGTATATTTGAGAATTTCTAATGTAAGGCATCAGAAAACTCAGAGCATAAATTAACGCACATAATATAATTGACGAATACATACCAATGTTTACCCTTAATGCTTGTTCTACTGTAGCATTTTTTAGCACTTATTATTTTTTTCTTCTTAATTTTCAGGATTCCGAGTAAGTTGAGGCTGTTTATGCACAATAATTCTGTATTCTTCATCCTCGGAGGTACTCTCTTCATCACTCACTGGGCCTGGTTTAGGCTACAGAGCAACGAACTATTTGTTCCCAGAGAATTAAATAAAGGTCATCCTTTCATGCATGCTGATACTAGGCAGAAATTTATCAATAAAATAAAAGGCTGGCTTCCTGGCTTTGGTAGTAATAACGAGCCTTCCGAGTCAGATTCATAAATTTTGTTTGTAATGTGTTGAAAATAAAATGCTGTTTCATTAGTTTTAATCCTGAATTTTTGTGTATTTTTAGAAAAGTTATTTTGACTCATAGAGTTATATAGTTCGTCTTCTGTAAGAACTCCCCCCGCCACATAGGCTGAGGGCGTCTGCTGCTATGGAAACAAGAATAGCACATTTCAGGAAAGGTAACTTCTTTTCACTCTAGGGCTAACACAATAGACCAAAGAAAAAGATCCCCCTTCTCTCGCCGACCCAAGCCAAACCCTGTCCTAAACAATGATCCCACACCCCTACTTGAAATAGTTATACCTCTTTACCATAGTCACCGCCACGGGTCCAGACGATGGGAGTTCTTACTATAGACAAACTATACTTAATCTTGCTACTGCCTATATTATACATACAATTGAAAAAAGAGATACAAGAGAAAAAACTCCCTTAATTTTTAAAAATTTTTATTTTTAGAATTAATGAATATAATTGTAAGTTTCAAAAATGTTATGAAGTTCAAAGTCTCGGTACCTCTTTAAATCTTCCACGGAACCATGAGGTTCCGCGGAACACCATTTGTGAGCCGCTACTTTAGCCCATAGAAGAAAATCATGATCATTCCAAAAATTTTCCTCGATCTGCATACAGACATAAGTTACGGTCGTAACAAGTTGTAGCGAATTTTAAATTTGCATGGTGAGTAGCGTTTTTAAAAAGTGCTTAAAGGTGCTTATTTTCGTTTTTTAAAAGCCCTTAAAGGTGCTTTTTTCATTGGGTGTCTTTAAAATGTGCTTAATTTTACCTGTTCGAAAATTATATATATTTTTCTTTACCATGTCGATTTTCGCCACATATCATGCAAAAGCGTGCTTTTCACATTGTTCTATTCTACATTTTCCCAACTCATTCACCCACCATCTAGTTCTGCGTACCATCAGTCCATAACGTATGAAAGCGCCAATCATTTTACATGTTTGATGAAATACTTGCTGGTTCGCATGTGCGTCTACTGGTTCGGTGAGATTATTGCACTCTCGTGTGCATTTGCTGCTGCATTTTGCAAGATATTCTCCATTTCAGGGCTTCATTTTTCCACCCTCTGATATCGAACCTAAAAATCTCTCGATTTTTTTATAATGGCTAATATGATCAAGAAAAGAGTTCTTTGTCAGAAACTAGTTATTTTATCATGATCATGTTAAGTCTTTGAAAATTATCTTACCTTTTGTTAATGTATATAGTGCTTGAAAATATTCTTTTAGTGCTTAAAGGGTGCTTATTTTTTATTGAAAGATTTGGCGACGCACCCTGATAATCACTGCCAAGGGTCCGGCGAATGGTTCGGGGAGTTCTTTACTTTAGAAAAACTTTGTATCATTTGGTAGGGATGTAACGAATATTCGGCTCTTTTGCCGAATATTCGGTTGGTTAAAATAAATGTTTAACCACCAAATATTCCGCAGAATGTTCTGCCAAATATTGAGCAAAATATTTTTAAAAAAAGTATTTTTCGTTACTTAATATTTAGCAAAAGTATTTTTTTTTATTTGATTGCGAATAGATTTAATAAAGAGTAATCTAAAATAGTATATTTAACTATACATTATTAGAAATGGTTTTTGTTCTGGAAGACTAATGGGAGAGCGAAATTAGAAGAAATAAAAATAGATTACTTTATACTGAATTATGATGAATCATCAGCTGTGCTCTACTTTTTTTTTAAAATTATATTCAGGCAAGAAAATTTCATAGTTTTTTTTTCTCCACACTTTTTGTTTTAAGATCTGAGAACATTTTTTGATATTTTTGTTACGTTTTTACTGCTTTTTATAGCATTGCATTTTAATGAAGCGTTTTTGATAGACGTAATCCTTACAGATTCACTTATTTTTCAAAGTTAAAGTTATGTTTTAAGAACTAAGAATTTTTTTTCTTCTTGTTTCTTTTTTATTTTTTTTTTATTAACTCTTTTATTATGACACAATATTTTTTAAAGAGCGTTTTTAATAAACTTTTATCAACACTTTTTTTTCTACAAATACGGCATTGTGAAAAAGTTAAATTTAGAATTTTAGCGTTAAATTTTTCTTTTAAAAATTGAAAATGATTTTGTTTCGTTTCCTATCTAGCTTTTTTTTTTTTTTTCTTTTTAAAAAAACTTCCATTTTTATTGATGTTTTTCACTATGACGTCGCAATAAAGTGGTTTCCTATTAGACTTCTTTATATAATTTTTACTTAAAAATTCGGTGTTTGGAAAACTGAGTTGTTTAGCTTTAAAAAATTTCTATCGATATTACAATCGATTTTTATTTTTTCTGTTTCGCTTTTAAATAGAATCTTGTTTTCATGGGCTTTTAAGATAGCGCAGCATTTGTAAAATCGTTTTTCATAGACTATATATCTTTAGCGTTTTATGGATACTTTTTTTTCTGGAAAATATTTTTTGCATTTAAATTTAGTTTTAAGAATTAGCGAATTTTTTTCCCTATTTCTCTTTTCTTTTACAATTTTAGTTTTTTTTTAATCTGTTAGTCAATTTTTTATGTATCTTAAATATTTCTTATGGACAACTATTATAGGTTTTTCCTTTTACCCCATACCAATAATATAGCTAAGTATTGATTAGTTTTCAATAAGGACTAAACTTATTTAGGAATAATAAAAAAATAAAATTGATTAATAATTCTTTTATTGCTGTTGTTGTTGATTTACGTCGCACTAGAGCTGCACAATGGGCTAATAATTCTTTTAAGGATTGTAGGTATTCGGCCGATTTTATATTCCTGAAATAAAATGTTTTTATTTATTTTCTTTTTTGAAGAATAAACTCTTGTTAATTTAACATACTCATTTGCAATACTTTCCTGAAATAAAAAGTGTTTTTTTTTCTTTTTAAATAAAACTCTTGTTAATTTAACATACACATTAACAATACTTTCCTGCAATAATAAGTTTTTTTTAAATTTTTTTATAAATAAAACTCTTGTTAATTTAACATTACTCATTAAAATTTTTTATAAATAATTTAACATTATTCATTTTCTGAAATAAGAAGTCTTTTTTATTTTTTTAAAATAAAACTTTTGTTAATTAAACATATTCATTAACAATATTTTCCTTAAATAAAAAGTTCTTTTTCTTTTTTTTAATAAAACTCTTGTTAACTTAACATACTCATTTACAATACTTTCCTGAAATAAAGGTTTGAGACAACTGAGCTAAAAGCTGACGATGTCTTATCCAAATAATGTGATAGCACGAAAATGAAACGGACTGCGATTTTTCTCAAACTTTTATTCAGTGTTCTATTATTTAATTTCTCAAATATAATATATACAATATGAATTAAAGAGACAAACAATTAATTAAAGAGAGTCCTTTTTCGTGTGTCATGAATTAGAATGACTCCATTACTTCGATGATTGGCTGCTGATTAAATTCTCTCTCCAAATGATTCTGAAACAAAAAAAATTCTCTAAGACTGGAATATTTCATCGGGATGAATCAGCCCTTCATCTGTAAATAAAGAAAACACATTTTGTAATGTAAATATAAAAGTTGATAATATTTCTCCGTGTTGTATTGATTAAGTTAAGATTCGATTCAGAAGCACTTAGTAATACTTTATTTATGTCACACTAGAGTTGCACATCGGGCTATATGGTCCGGGAAACATCCCTGAGGATGATGCGAAGACATGTCATCGTAATTTTGATCCTCTACAGAGGCTGCTTTGGTAGCCTAAAGGTTTAAGAAACCCAGAATGTCCATTCTAAAGAGAAAATAAATCAACTGTTTAACCAACTGACGATTCTGTCTGTAAAAAATCGTATTTTAACCTGCACTCTTTTCTGCAGAGGGAATGGCACCCTCACTTCGGTAGCCCGACGTCCTGCACGCGAAATCGAGCACTTTACGGTAGAACAGTTTAACAAGGACCTCAGGTCCCTCGGCTGGTTTGAACAAAATGGTCACCCATCCGCTTACTGACTGCAGCCAGTGATGCTTGACTTTGATGTTCTATTTGGAACCGTGACTTAACGATCAATCCACTGCGGGACGCTAATAGTTTAGACACACAAATGCTCAAACGTTTTTCTCCTTTAATGTTGATTTTACTCCCTGAAATTTTTGATAGGAAGAGAAATAAGAATTCCAAACAAAAAAATCAGAAACAGAAAAATAAAAGTTGGATTTTTAATTTTTTGCTTTTTGGAATTTGCTTAATATATTTCGTTCAAAGTTTGGATTTCACAGTAACAATTACATTGTTATCTTTCAGTTCTGTATTTTTTCGTTAAATATTAAATTAATCAGAAGTACTAGTACTTCAAATCAGATTCGATTCAGAAGTAGTAGTACTTAAGATCAGATTCGATTCAGAAGTAGTAGTACTTTAAATCAGATTCGATTCAGAAATAGTAGTACTTTAGGTCAGATTCGATTCAGAAGTAGATCAGATTGCACTAGAGCTGCATAATGGGTGGGAAGCATAACCTGTGGATGATCATGACGTCACAATTTTGATCCTCTGCAGAGGGAATGGCTTCCACATTTTGGTAGCGCGACGATCTTCCCGAAGTCGAACACTTTTCGGTAAAACAGTTTATAGAGGACCCGCATACTCTCGTTCCTTTCGTAGTCTGATAAAAGTGATGATCCGCCTACTCACTGGCAGCTGCTAGTGATGCTTAATTTCGGTGATGGAACCGTGTTTTATGATCAGTCCAGCCATTCAGTGGTTGAAACAATGGTATAAAATTTTTTGATACGAAATATTTTATGTTGCAGGGACTGATTGTTTTTCCTTTGTTCTTTAAATCATCAAATGAATCCATTTTATTTTATTTTATAACCGTCGTTGAATTGCCGACCCAATTTTTGGGTTTACGACTACTAATGCTCAACTCCGTATCCTTGTAATTTTGAACCCAATGCAGATGACAGACAAGGGAAATTTCACTTTAGCACTGTGTGGTCCCGCAGTGGACTGAGACACGGTTCCCAGCAGATCACCGAAGTCAAGAATCACTTGCTGCGGTCAGTGTGCGGGTGGGTGACCACTTGGATCACCCTGCGTAGGGACCGATTGCGTGGGTATTGGTCCTCTATAAACTGTTCTACCATAAAGTGCTCGACTTCGCGTGCAGGTTGTCGGCCTACCAAAGTGCGGGTGCCGTCCCCTCCGCAGAGGATCAGAATTGTGACGTCATGATCATCCACAGGGGATGCTTCCCAGACCGTCATTGTGCAGCTCTAGTGCGACATCAATGATCTACAACTACGTCAACACTGTGGGTGGTGCAAGGCAAGCTGGATGTGGAATTTGTATCGATCAGTCATCGCTGGGATTTGAACCTGGCTCACCTCATTGGAAGACTAACGTTCTNAATGATTCTGAAACAAAAAAAAAGGAATTTGTTGTCTTCTCTAAGACTGGAATATTTCATCGGGATGAATCAGCCCTTCATCTGTAAATAAAAAAAAACACATTTTGTAATGTAAATATAGAAGTTGATAATATTTCTCCGTGTTGTATTGATTAAGTTCAGATTTGATTCAGAAGTACTTAGTAATACTTCATTTACGTCGCATTAGAGCTGCACAATGGGCTATAGGTGACGGTTTGGGAAACATCCTTGAGGATGATCCGAAGACATGCCATCGCAATTTTGATCCCCTGCAGAGAGGATGGCTCCCTTTCTTTGGTAGCCCGACGACCTGAACGTTAAGGCGAGTACTGTACGGTAGAACTGTTTAACGAGGTTCCTAGGCAGGCTGATGACACACCCACTCACTGGCCGCTGCTAGTGATGTTTGGTGGTCTACTGGGAACCGTGTTTTATCATCAGTCTACCGATTCAGTGGTTGAATAAATAGTATCACATTTTCTGTTATTATATATTTTGTGTTGCAGGGACAGCTTGTTTTTCTTCTGTTCTTTAAATCATCAAAAGAATCCATTTTATTTTATTTTATAGCCGTCGTTAAACAGCTGACCCAATTTTTGGATTTACGACTACTAATGTTCAACTACGAAGCCTTGTAATTTTGAAATTAATACAGAAGACATGGGAAATTTCACGCCAGCACTGTGGTTGGTGCAAGCTGGATGCGGCATTTGTATCGACCAGCCATCTCTGGGATTCGAACCAGGGTCACTACATTCGAAGACGAATGCTGTATCTCCTGTGTCATCGCGGTGGAAACGAATCTATTATGCAAATTAGACGCCCTCGCCTGTAAGAATCTCGAGGTTGTTGCGACAGTGGGAAATAGGATAATCAATTATACGTTTGGTCCTCTAGCGTTTTCTTTAATTCATGTTAAATGAGTGAATCTTCTTTCTTTATGATCACGCAAATTAATACAAACACGCTGTGTAACAGAAAATAATTAATCAAGCGATAAATTAAAGAGGCATCTCTGAGAAATATTAACAGCATATAATTACACTAGTATTTTCAGCCCTGCACTACACTATCAAGATCTTTTTTGTTAGAACCTTGAACCATTTCTAATTTAAGTGCGAGAGTACACACATGTATAGTTGAACCACCCTGATTAACTTTTTTGATCTAGTGATACGATCTTTACATTCTACAACTCAAACTTAGTGGTTCGAAGGGATAAGCGCAGACAAGATACAAAACCAATCACAAGAACGCACTTTCGCTGAATAAACATAATTCCCCCCCCCCAAAGGTTTCGGATTTCTGACCCCTCAAAATAAGGGGTTCGTCCCTATCTGCGTAATATGGTCCCCATAGTTAGGTCAGGAGAATGACCCAAAGTTTGAACCTCTGTTAATTTTACTTTTTGCGTATTTCGCCATACATCAAGAACTTTTTAAGCGAATTGAAAACTTTTTGCATATAATTATAAAATTTGTTTGTCCAAAGATAGCACAAAAAATAAATGTTAGTAATGATTAATGATTTTTTTTAATTATTTTATTTAATAATGTTCGAAAAAAATTTGAATTGTAACGGATACATTCTTCAATTCAATTTTTCATGGCAAAATACAAAATCTGAGTGAAATCGGTCGACTAGTTTCTGAGAAATCAAATTTAAAAAAATAGATAGTTAAAATTTGATTTCTCAGAAACTATTCGATCGATTTCACTCACATTTTGCCTTTTGCCATGTAAAATTGCATATTTTAAAATAATGTAAAAAATGTAGGCTTTACGATTCAAATTTTTTCGACCATTATTAAAAAAAATAATAAAAAATAATAATTATTTACTAAAACTTATTTCTTGCACAGAATTATTTGAGACAAAAAAATTTTAACTGTGGATAGCTCTCATGACTAATCAATGGGGACCATATTTCTCAGATTGCGGTTATCCCCTATATTTTGGGGGTAAAAAAATCCGTATCCGTTGAAAAAAAAAAGGCATGTTTACTCAGAGAAAACACGTTTTTGTGTCTGATTTCGCAACTTAGAGTATCGTCTGCTCTAATTAATTAGCATGTTTCAGGTACCCCCTCGAACCATTAAGATTGAGTCCTAAAACGTCAAGATCCGATTATTAGATCAAAATTTATTTACACATTCTTTTTGGCGCACTGTGCGTTTAAAGAAGTTATCTGAATATATTTATACTAATTTTCTTTTTTTCTTATCTGATGTAATGATCCAGGATCGCAGAGAATTAGAATATTTTTTTATGTTCCTTCTAAAACTACCAAATTTTTAATATTGTACGTTATTGAAAGTTTTTTGAACTACTTCAGATTTTTTCAAAGCATTTAATTTAGTACTGTATTAAAAGTTTTTTGAACTACTTCAAATTTTTTCAAAGCATTTAATATTGTACTACATAAAAAGTTTTTTGAACAACTTCAAATTTTTTCAAAAATTTTAATATTGTACATTATTAAAAGCTTTTTGAAGTACTTCAAATTTTTTCAAAACTTATTCCGCATTAAATATTCCGCATTATTTCTAAACAATTTGTAATAAAAACATTTTTGTGAACTTTTGGTGAATCATAGAGCATGTCATAACGAACATTTAATAAAATGCATACACAGCGTTAAGATCTTAAGTCAAATTACTCAATGCGCTTCAGCAATTTAACATTCAAAAGGGAAATTCTGAAATGTCAATTTAATTGACCAACATTGATTTTTGTTAACAGCCTAGTACACATTATTTAATCGATTCAAGAGAGAGAGAGGCTCTCATTAAAATGTCATGAGCAATCGATTAAAAATCAGTCAAACTCTTACTGTTTCTGTCTATGACTTTCTCCATTAAAAGTTGCGCAAAACCAGGATTCCTTGCAATCTGTTCAGCCAACAAACTAGATGACATAGATCTGGAAACAACACATTGTTTTAATGAAAAGGTTATGTTAAAACTAGAAAGCATTTAATGATTAAAATATGTGTTGAAATTACGAACTGAAATTAAAAAAAAACTAATTTTTTCATTGAGTATAACTTAATGGAGCAATATTAGTGGTGTACAGTGAGCAAAAGAGGAGTTTCACCTTAAAAAACGCAATTTTGATGGCACAATTTATTTATTTTAAATCAGTGGTTTCCTACTGGCAGCCCGCAAAAGCTTTTTTTTCTTGCGGCCCGCGAACTAAAATATATTAGTTATCATTTTTTTGCGGACAATTTTCATAAAAGATTTGTATGGGTTTAAAATACTTTTCTCGTTAATAAAAACCTAATTTCTTCCTTTCTGTGAAATTTATCATACCAACGGTGCAAAAAATTTTTTTCTCAGGTTTTACACCCAAGAAAATATTTATTCAAATACAAAAATAATCGTCTATGTTGCTCTTTTTTATTTCATTTTTTTTTGTATTTTGTGAATATAATTTAGCATGTGTGTATCAGAGATTGTCTCGAAGAAATTCTCCAATTTAACTTTTTGAAACCACTCATTTTGGAATGAAATATTTACACACACATATGTAAATTTAAAATGTAAATATCTATTCTCTGGTGGTTGCAGCAGACAAACCTCAATTTTGTCATTGAACATTTTGTGTGCTACTATGTAATTTTTAATACTAACCTTTTTAAAGTTTTATATCTTAACAATTAGATATCTGTTGCACATTAATTGTTTAATACATCGGTGCACATTAAAGTTATTGTAGCCCGAATTTTTTAATTTGCAATTAAATATTTTTAAAAATCTACTTTTTGTTTTAATTTGTAATTCAATACTTTTGTTTTGTGCAACTTGGTGAAAATCTGACTGTAATATTTAATGTTCCTTCAAACATAAAAGAGTCCTAGATAAAATTTTCATAAAGTTACGACCCGCCATTTGATTTGTGTTTTTAATCGTGGCCCCCGGCCTCATGTAAGTTGGAAACCCATGCTTTAAATCGATTATATGATTCAAGTGAATTAAGTTATGAAATCGGACGTAGCTTTTTGATAACTTAGGGGTGCGGAACAATTCTAAAATGGCGTTCAAAGGTGTACAATCATTCACAAATTATTAGAATTTTTCAAAACATGGAAAGAAACCCTGAAATCTAGGTGGGTAGGTGAACAATAGTAATGAATGATTTTAGCAGAGGAAAACTCAAACCTATGATTAGAATCCAACTATATAATACAATTTGTTAACAAATTCTGTTTCAGTGTTGTATCACTCGAAAATATTTTTCGCAAAAAGTGTTTTAGCTTTAGATCTAAGCCATTTTGTGACTTTATTTCTGGATAGTAAATTTATTAAAGGTATCATGTGTCGTTGTGTACGCTGTCCGAGTGAAAATTCTTGATTGCCCAATCAAAAGTTTTTGATGGTTTATGCAGGTTTCAGTGCGATTCATGATGGTCACCATCACCCAACATTTTCCATTATGCGTTTATGGTTTTTGATATGCCAACTAACTTTCCCCTTCCATGATGGAAAATGCTATTTAATACTATGATGGTGAACCATCAAGAAACTTGATTCTCATGAATGCACAATTCATGATGGTCTATGATGGTTTCAACTATACATTTCCATGATGGTTGATGGCTTATTTGGAATTCTTGCTGGTTCTCATGAATATACCATCAAAATTATTTTTTTTTTAAATATTGGGCAATTATAAATCAGTCCGAATTCCTACTTTGGGATGATGGTTGCACATGATCGTTCCAACATTGGATGATGGAAATTTGTGATGGTCTATAATGGTACAACAATGGATTTCCATGATGGTTTAATAATTTTTCTTGTTGGTTCAGCTGGAATATACTATGAAAACAATTCGTTTTTTTTGTTGGCCCATCATAAATCAGTCTGAATTCCTACATTGCGTTGATGGTTATTTATGTTGGTTACCATCAAAAAATATAATGGTTCATGATGAAATTATTGATGGTTACCATCAAGATTATGTTGCTCCATCAGTGAAAAAACATCAAAAATTTTGACTTGGGTGGATGTGATAAGTCTTGGATTGCAATTTTCGGCTTCCGACTACATTCAATTTATCGGAGTTGAAATGTAAGAACAGTTTCAGTGCACTACCTCTAGAAATTATCTTCCGCAAAAAGTAGTAAATTTATTAAAGTATACCCAAGTCAAAATTTTTGATGGTTTTTCATTGATGAATCAACATCCTCTTGATGGTAACCATCAATAATTCCATCATGAACCATTATATTTTTAATGGTAACCAACATAAGTAATCGTCACCCCAAAGTAGGAGTTCGGACTAATTTAAGATTGTCCAACATAAGAATATCAACTTGCTTTGATGGTTTGTTCATGTTGAACCATCAGAAACTTCTATCATAATTTCTTAATTTGATGGTGGAACGATCATGAGCAACCATCATCCCAATCTAGGAATTCGGATTGATTTATGATAGTTCAACTTTAAAAAAACCCCAAATTGTTTTGAGGGTATATTCCTGAGAACCAACAAGAATTCCCATTAAGCTGTCATGGAAATGTATAGTTGGAACCATCACGGATTGCTGATTTATGAGAATCAAACCTCTCTTGATGGTTAACCATCATAGTATTAAAGTAACAGTTTCCATCATTGAATGATGACATTTTTTTGCCACATTAAAAACCATGAACGCATAATAGAAAATGTTGGATGATGATGACCATCAAATGATGTTCGAAAATCATGAATCGCACTGAAACCAACATAAACCATCAAGAATTTTGACTTGATAGTGTGCCTTTTTATGAACGGGAATTGGTAAGTCCTGAATTGGCACCTTTGTCGTCTAGAACAATTTTTTTCTCCAATGCCGACCTGTGTTAACATCCGTCAATTCAGACCTATACAGGGCGATTTTGTTGGCCTCTCTTTCAGGGGCACCATATTAGGTGGGCCAACGTCGCTCCCACAGTGAAGACAGATAGTACAGAGAAGGAAAGAACATTCATGCCTTGCCCGGGATTCGGACCCTTAACCTTTCTGATGCAAGGACAGTTCCCTGCCCCCTACACAGACCGGTCGGCTCTTCTAGAACATTCAATCAAGATGTCCAATTCATAGAAATTAAGATGTCTGTACTAACCTGAGGTCGGAGGAGAGATCTTCGAGCCCTTCAGAGGTGTGGGGAGGAATCCTCTTTCCGAATCCTCGGGCGGTAGAAAGGGCGGCGTTGCGGAATCCTCTTTTCTGTCGAGGGGCGCAACTGCACAAAGTCACCAGGACACAAAACAGAACCAGTGTGAGACGGCTCATGACTGATTCTGAAAAAGTGGCATTTTTTAAGAACATATATGGGTTAGTTTATTTACAAACTTTACTAATGAATCAGAAAAATTCCTCGCACTATAAAGAACGCAAATTTGAGCAAATTGGAAAGCAGTAGTCTTCTTCAGTGGCAGTACAAGACTTTAGGTATGCCAAAATGTCGCTTCAGGGGACACTTAACAGATATACACCGAAGAGCCATTACATTATGACCACCCTGCTAATAACTTGCGAGGGGGTAGCGTGGCAGCACGAATATGGTTTTCCAAGTAGGACCACAAATGCTCTATTGGATTAAGGTCAGAGGAATTTGGGGGCCAAGACATGACTTGAAAGTCACTGGAATGTTCCTCGAACCAATCCATGACGATTCGACCCTTANAGTACTTCAAATTTTTTCAAAACTTATTCCGCATTAAATATTCCGCATTATTTCTAAACAATTTGTAATAAAAACATTTTTGTGAACTTTTGGTGAATCATAGAGCATGTCATAACGAACATTTAATAAAATGCATACACAGCGTTAAGATCTTAAGTCAAATTACTCAATGCGCTTCAGCAATTTAGCATTCAAAAGGGAAATTCTGAAATGTCAATTTAATTGACCAACATTGATTTTTGTTAACAGCCTAGTACACATTATTTAATCGATTCAAGAGAGAGAGAGGCTCTCATTAAAATGTCATGAGCAATCGATTAAAAATCAGTCAAACTCTTACTGTTTCTGTCTATGACTTTCTCCATTAAAAGTTGCGCAAAACCAGGATTCCTTGCAATCTGTTCAGCCAACAAACTAGATGACATAGATCTGGAAACAACACATTGTCTTAATGAAAAGGTTATATTAAAACTAGAAAGCATTTAATGATTAAAATATGTGTTGAAATTACGAACTGAAATTAAAAAAAACTAATTTTTTCATTGAGTATAACTTAATGGAGCAATATTAGTGGTGTACAGTGAGCAAAAGAGGAGTTTCACCTTAAAAAACGCAATTTTGATGGCACAATTTATTTATTTTAAATCAGTGGTTTCCTACTGGCAGCCCGCAAAAGCTTTTTTTTCTTGCGGCCCGCGAACTAAAATATATTAGTTATCATTTTTTTGCGGACAATTTTCATAAAAGATTTGTATGGGTTTAAAATACTTTTCTCGTTAATAAAAACCTAATTTCTTCCTTTCTGTGAAATTTATCATACCAACGGTGCAAAAAATTTTTTTCTCAGGTTTTACACCCAAGAAAATATTTATTCAAATACAAAAATAATCGTGTATGTTGCTCTTTTATATTTCATTTTTTTTTGTATTTTGTGAATATAATTTAGCATGTGTGTATCAGAGATTGTCTCGAAGAAATTCTCCAATTTAACTTTTTGAAACCACTCATTTTGGAATGAAATATTTACACACACATATGTAAATTTAAAATGTAAATATCTATTCTCTGGTGGTTGCAGCAGACGAACCTCAATTTTGTCTTTGATCATTTTGTGAGCTACTATGTAATTTTTAATACTAACCTTTTTAAAGTTTTATATCTTAACAATTGGATATCTGTTGCACATTAATTGTTTAATACATCGGTGCACATTAAAGTTATTGTAGCCCGAATTTTTTAATTTGCAATTAAATATTTTTAAAAATCTACTTCTTATTTTAATTTGTAATTCAATGCTTTTGTTTTGTACAACTTGGTGAAAATCTGACTGTAATATTTAATGCTCCTTCAAACATAAAAGAGTCCTAGATAAAATTTTCATAAAGTTACGACCCGCCATTTGATTTGTGTTTTCAATTGTGGACCCCGGCATCATGTAAGTTGGAAACCCATGCTTTAAATCGATTATGTGATTCAAGTAAATTAAGTTATGAAATCGGACGTAGCTTTTTGATAACTTGGGGATGCGGAACAATTCTAAAATGGCGTTCAAAGGTGTACAATCATTCACAAAATCATTCACAAATTATTAGAATTTTTCAAAATATAGAAAGATACCCTGAAATCTAGGTGGGTAAATGTACAATAGTAATGAATGATTTTGGCAGAGGAAAACTCAAACCTATGATTAGAATTCAACTATATAATACAAATTGTTAACAAATTCTATTTCAGTGTAGTATCACTCGCAAAAAGTGTTTTAGCTTTAGATCTAAGCCATTTTGTAACTTTATTTCTGGATAGTAAATTTATTAAAGGTATCATGTGTCGTTGTGTACGCTGCCCGAGTGAAAATTCTTGATTGCCCAATCAAGACATTTTGATGGTTTATGTAGGTTTTAGTGCGATTCATGATGGTCCAACATCATTTGATAGTCACCATCACCCAACATTTTCCATTATGCGCTTATGGTTTTTGATATGCCAAGTTGCCAACTAACTTTCCTCTTCCATATTGGAAAATGCTATTTAATACTATGATGGTGAACCATCAAGAGATTTGATTGTCATGAATGCACAATTCATGATGGTTCCAATTATACATTTCCATGATGGTTTATTTGGAATTCTTGTTGGTTCTCAGGAATATACCATGAAAATAATTTTTTCTAAATGTTGGACCATCATAAATCAGTCCGAATTCCTACATTTGGTTGCTCATGATCGTTCCAACATTGGATTTTTAAGATACTATGATGAAAATTCGTGATGGTCCATTAAGATACAACAATGCATTTCCATGATGATTTACATCGGGGAGATGGTTACCTATGTTGGTCACTATCAAAAAATATAATGGTTCATGATAGAATTATTGATGATTGCTTGAGAATATGTTGGTTCATCAACGGAAAACCATCAAAAACGTCACGTCAACTTGCACGTCAACTTGAAGTTCGTTTCTAGAGTACTACATCTGGAAATTATCTTTCGCAAAAAGTAGTAAATTTATTAAAGTATACCCAGGTCAAAATTTTTGATGGTTTTTCATTGATGAATCAACATCCTCTTGATGGAAACCATCAATAATTCCATCATGAACCATTATATTTTTAATGGTAACCAACATAAGTAATCATCACCATAAGTAGGAATTCGGACTAATTTAAGATTGTCCAACATAAGAATATCAACTTGCTTTGATGGTTTTTTCATGTTGAACCATCAGAAACTTCTATCATAATTTCTTAATTTAATGCTGGAACGATCATGAACAACCATCACCCCTATCTAGGAATTCAGATTGATTTATGATGGTCCAACTTTTAAAAAAAATCCAAATTGTTTTGATGGTATATTCCTGAGAACCAACAAGAATTCCCATTAAGCCATCATGGAAATGTATAGTTGGAACCATCACGGATTGCTGGATTATGAGAATCAAACTTCTCTTGATGGTTAACCATCATAGTATTAAAGTAGCACTTTACATCATGGAATGATGACATTTTTTTTGGCACATTAAAAACCATGTACGCATAATGGAAAATGTTGGATGATGATGACCATCAAATGATGTTCGAAAATCATGAATCGCACTGAAACCATCAAGAATTTTGACTTGATAGTGTGTCTTTTTATGAACGGGAATTGGCAAGTCCTGAATTGGCACCTTTGTCGTCTAGAACATTTTTTTTCTCCAATGCCGACCTGTGTTAACATCCGTCAATTCAGGCCTATACAGGGCGATTTTGTTGGCCTCTCTTTCAGGGGCACCATATTAGGTGAGCCAACGTCGCTCCCACAGTGAGGACAGATAGTACAGAGAAGGAAAGAACATCCATGCCTTGTCCGGGATTCGGACCCTTAACCTTTCTGATGCAAGGACAGTTCCCTGCCCCCCATACAGACCGGTCGGCTCTTCTAGAACATCCAATCAAGATATCGAATTTATAGAAATTAAAATGTCTGTACTAACCTGAGGTCGGAGGAGAGATCTTCGAGTCCTTCAGAGGTGTGGGGAGGAATCCTCTTTCCGAATCCTCGGGCGGTAGAAAGGGCGGCGTTGCGGAATCCTCTTTTCTGTCGAGGGGCGCAACTGCACAAAGTCACCAGGACACAAAACAGAACCAGTGTGAGACGGCTCATGACTGATTCTGAAAAAGTGGCATTTTTTAAGAACATATATGGGTTAGTTTATTTACAAACTTTACTAATGAATCAGAAAAATTCCTCGCACTATAAAGAACGCAAATTTGAGCAAATTGGAAAGCAGTAGTCTTCTTCAGTGGCAGTACAAGACTTTAGGTATGCCAAAATGTCGCTTCAGGGGACACTTAACAGATATACACCGAAGAGCCATTACATTATGACCACCCTGCTAATAACTTGCGAGGGGGTAGCGTGGCAGCACGAATATGGTTTTCCAAGTAGGACCACAAATGCTCTATTGGATTAAGGTCAGAGGAATTTAGGAGCCAAGACATGACTTGAAAGTCACTGGAATGTTCCTCGAACCAATCCCTGACGATTCGACCCTTATGACATGGTGCATTATCCTGTTGGTAAACACCATCCCCCGCAGGGAAAACTGTTGCCATGAATGGGTGAACTATGTTCAAGTAGCTTACAGACATCAGGATTGTTCTATGAGGATTATGGGTCCTAATGTGCCCCATGAGAAAATTGTTTCTGGGCGAGAAACCATGAAAACCTGGACGAGCCCATTGTTATAGATGGAGGGTGGTCATAATGTAATGGCTCTTCGGTGTATTTGTGGTGTCAGACTGTAACAGTTGGGTGAATTGCATCATCTACTTCCTCGTTGAAAGGCGTCAGCCAGGCTAGAGGGGAAAGCCCCGGTATCCACGGTGCCATAGAGTCTAGACGGTAAAAGTCCCGAATAAATTAATAACTCTTACTCTTTTGCATAGAACTATCTTATTTAGCATTTATTCTTGATCCGGCAACACTGCGTGTAGGCAGCACTCACCTGTCATGATTTCGCTGTTAAACTTATTCTTTTTTTATTAAATGTTAAGTTTCATTATTAAGCTATTGTCTTTTTTTTCTCTCTTGCTTCACAAACTCCTACATATATATATCTTAAAC